GCTCTTTCATGGCAAAAACAGATCTTAAATCAGCCTTTCACCTGATCCCTGTCCATCCTGGTAATTGGCAACTGTTAGGCATTTACTGGCAGAATCAATACTATGTCAATCTCTATCTCCCCTTTGGGCTCCGTAGTACCCCATACCTTTTCAATCAATCATCTGATGCCCTGGAATGGATTCTCAAAAAAATTATAACTTGGGGAACGTCATTCACATTTTAGATGATTTCTTCATCGCCAAGGCATCCTGATGGCAATGTCTGTCCAGTTTCAGCACCTTACTCTGCTTCTTCGTGTCCGTTTGTGCCCCTGTAGTTGTGTCCAAGACCCTGGGCCCCTCCCAAGTATTGGAATTCATGGGTATTGAGCTGGATAGCACTTGTCTGGAGGCCTGACTTTCCAAGGACAAACTTCTTCGCACTCTTAAATTATTTTACAGGTCGTAGTTCAGTACGTTTAATTGAGCTCCAGTCACTTATAGGTACCCTGCAGTTCACCTGCAAAGCAGTCGTCCCAGGAAGGACTTTCTGCAATGTATGATCGACCTTACCAGGGGCGTACACAACTGTTTCCATCTCATCCATCTTAACAAAGAATTTTTCTAGGACCTTGATATGTGGAAAGCCTTCCTTGCTGGTTGGAATGGGCATTTCTTTTTCCTCAACTCTACCGTTACCCCGTCCCCAAACATGAGGTTGTATACCAATGCTTACGATACTATCGGTTTTGGGGGATATTTTAATGGGAAATTGTTTCAGGGCAGGTGGCCTCCTCATATGCAACTTAACAAAGACCAGGGCATAAGCATCAAATGGCAGGAACTCTTCCCCATAGTTGAAGCGTGTGCTATATGGTTTCCCCATTTTACTGGGTAAAGCATTCTCAGTTCTGGTGCGAAAACGAATCAGTGACCACCATCTTGAACTCGGGTCACTCAAGAGCTCCCCGTATTATGGACCTCTGTAGTTTCTTGTCCTTATATCTATGAAGCATAACTTCTTTATCAGGGCCTGCCATGTTCCAGGGCTCTCTAATGAGATTGCTTATGCTCTCTCACGCTTTCGGGTATCTTGTTTCCGGGCAGCTGCTCCAACAACCAAGCGAACCTCTTACACCATCCTGTCTTCGCTCATGACCCTCTAAAAGACGAAGTTACGACGTACGCCAACTGGGGCCTGGCATGGACTACTAATCGTACGTATGCCTCTGGGGAAAAACACTTTATCCAATTTGGTCTTATGAACAGGCTCTAGCAATTGGGATATTCTTCAAGCCTCAGAGGGCACCTTAATATATTTTTCCTCTTACATAAAACTTTACTTGGCCACGGTATGCGATCTTCACATTTCATGTGGGTATGGTGACCCCCTCCTGAGTAAACTTTTATTAAAAGAGGTTTTTAGGGGCATTCTCCGCCACCAGGGTCACACCTGTGTCCTAAGGCAACCTGTTACCCTAAGGGTGTTATTAACCATACGCTCCATTTTGCTTTCCTGGTTGGGTGCGCAGTATTTTTCTATAATTTGGGCTGCCTTCACACTAGCATTCTTTACATATCAAAGGGTATCTAATTTTCGCCCTCAATTTGACCTATCAGTGGATTGTGTGTCATTTCATCCCTCTCTGGCCAGCCTGCGGCAGATGTCAATTATTCTTAAATCTCTAAGACTGATGTTTTAATTGCATGCTCACCCTCACTGCTGCTTCCTTGCTGTGTGCCCTCGGGGGCCCTTCTTTTCATTTCAGTCTGGCTGATACCTAACTAGGTCGGCAGTGGTACACCTT